GTGTAGGGCGGGTGTTTGTTTGTTTGTTTGTTTGTTTGTTTGTTTATTTCTTTGTTTGAGTTATCGTATGCTTTTTTATTTTTATTCATGTACATGTTTCTAGCAAATTAAAAATTTTGACATTTTTGATTAGTTTTTTTCTTGATGTCAAATAATGTAGACCTCTACTGACTACTACATGTAAGTGGAGGTAGCGAAGGAAGTTTTATGCAGACGTAAGTTTTCATCAACAATGCGTGATAAAGCTCAGTCATGTATAGGAATCATATGAAACATCCGTGTTTTGATTTACGCCATTCTGCACCTTGTTGTTTAAGAGAAAGCTTGGTCGTATATATATTCATATATGTCTGTAGAACAGTTCATTGAATTACATCAGTCGTAAATATTCCAGAGAAAAATTTACATCTTTTCTAGACAAAGTCACTCAACAGCTGATTGCAATATTTAAGGGACATATTTGCGAAGATCTAAGCTGGTGAATATTGTTTTGCTCGTCTCGAAAATATACAAAATAATGAGATACATCTCTATGCTATCTTGTCTTCGTGTTGCAAAATTAGGCATTAGCTTCCACGGTTATTAAGATAGGTCTCCTAGCATTGGCAAATTTTAAGCATATTACCTTGGTTGATATTTCGTCATCATGATACATCAAAACAAGCTTAAACGAAAAAAAAAGAAGAGAAACGGGTGCGATGCGGAACTGACCAATTAAGTAAACGAAAACCATCATATTATTATTATATTGACCTCAGCTGTGCTCGGAGTAAAGCGTCGTTCTTATTTCTTAAATCAAAAATTACTAAAGATTGTATATAATTGATATGAATACTGTTTAAGCTGTAATTGCAGATCTTTTCCGCACACATCGACACAATTTAGAACATAATGTGTGAGAGGGCTGCATTGTCCCTGCATGCCAGGGCCAGTTCTGGCACATACGAATGCAATGTCCAACCGCCCCATATTGGAATCGGATTCACATCTGCTGCACGATACAGGCAAGCTCTTTGTTGGTACATTACTGACACAGGCGAGGTATACTTTAATAGGAATTTTAATATATTACGAGATCATAAACAATATTTTTCACGCTCCTAATTAGTTTAAGTTTAGTTATACTAAGAGTTCTACGGCACTTGCAAACATAATATGGGTCTTATAAGTGCCGAAGAATAGATGCGATACAAAAGAGTAACATACACACACACAAAAGGAGGAGGACAGATAAGCATGATACAGGTTTGATAGGAAAGAAGGAGCAAACCACACCAGAGCACCAGCCAACCAGCCACGCACTTTTATTTAATAAAATTCACGTTCAGTGCATGATGCAGTTGTCGTTACCAGCGCTGATGAATGAAGTTTGGTTTTGTGTTTTGCTCCTACCCTGTAAAAATATACACAAAGTTTTAATGTATACGTCACACGCCTTCAAACACGTATCCAAAGTGCAATAATGTCGTGAATACACCTGACGTTGTTTGTGCAAGGTCTTACAAATTAGTAGTCAGCAATTTTTAAAAAATCTTAAACTGACCGTTGACTATCCCTTGTAGTTAAAAGTCTTTCGTGCATTGCTGCCATGACTTCTCATGAAAAACGTGATGTGTGAAACCTGAAGTCGACAGAACAGAGCACAAGGAAATGACTTAATTATGTCTAAATGATATAAATGTGTGACAAATTATCTCTGATTCTCCTTCTACTTTTTAGTTGAATTTTTAACCTTTCTTGCTCTTCCTGGTTATGTTTTCCGCCTGCGTGCGAAATGACTTACAAGGGTGCAAGAGGAATGTCCAACTCACAAACAGGTTGACAATAACAATGTATTTATAGGATTTTTGTTGTTTGCTTTATACACCTTTTATAACTATCTAAAAAACACATGTCCATGTGAATTGATCTGAAATAGAGTTAATTATTTTTGGTATCTGTAATAAAACGTATGTGAAAATTCAAGTTTTCAGGAGAATTGCTCATATTGTTTTTTATGCACCCGCC